GATGCAGTTTTGAAGCTTTTTTTGGTTCGATATGTGTCGGATTAGCCGATTTTGAAATCAGGAAGAAAAACATACTATAAATCCAAGAAAGTGGTTTTTTAAGTAGTTATCTGCAGTGTTAATGTAGATTTGAGTCCGGAAAGTTATGAAATTGCAGGTTTTAACTATAATTTGCTCGAAAGCGAGAGCGAAAACCAATTATTTGTCCCATAAAGAGGGTTTTCAAGTACATTTCTGCTTTTGTAAGGTAGATTTGGATACAATAAGAGCCGAAAAAGCAGATTCTGACTGGGAGCTTATCCAAATCGGCAACTATTTGACTTAGAAAGGGGGTTTTACGTCGATATCTAATGGTTTATAAAGGTTTGGGTTACTCTAATGCCCGAAGATGCCCATTTTGACTAGTATCTGAAACATATTGACAAAAAATGGTAACTGTTTGGAACAAAAAATGATAGTTTAAGCTGATATTTGCAGTTTTGATGCTGTTTAAGGTATGATATGTGTCGAAAAGCCGATTTTTTTTCGTTATTATAATTAAAAATTCTGTTTTGTTTTTTACATTTTCAGGAACAGAGGTGAAATGGAACGCTTAAACATTCTTAATAGCCATTCCATATTATTATAACCGATTTGGTCTAAAGCCAGAGCTTTCGACAATCCTATAAATACCAATACCAAATTTTTTAATCCATAGAAAAATAAATCGACACAAGAATAACAATACCTCCTTGAACTGATAAAGTCTTTTCCAGGCATTTTAAAAAAACTCTAGTAGTACCAATTTGGTTTTAGAAGAAATCAAAACACTCTTTCAGGCATTCTCAATTTAGTTTCAGACATTACAGATGCATTCCAGAATTGGCAATATAACACTGTATTATTTTGTGATCTCACTAAAGCCTTCGACTGTCTCGATCATTCTATTCTTCTGAACAAGTTCGAGGCTTATAATTTTTCAAATAGCAGTCTTTCCTTAGCAATAGATGCCAGGTGAGCGACATCCGCGAAGAGTGCTGCAAATATTGGAGTGCCCCAAGGCACAACTTTGGGCCCCCTATTATTTTAAATTAATATAAATGACCTTCCCCCTGTGGATCCTACATCTGGTTTTACCTTTTTTGCTGATGACACCACCGTGTCTGTGTACATTTTCATTATATGTTTATTTTATAAAGATCTCTGAAACATCTGTGCCTAGAAGCAGTCAGCGTAAGATAGAGTTTGAATACGAAGCGTAACAAAACCTTATATGGCTGTCTTGTAATTTTTGGAAGCCCTCTCTGTCTTTACAAAGAAGAGCGGGTCATTACATCATCAATTTTGCCGGGTGGCTGAGAACATTTTTAAACAGATATACCTTCTTAAGCTAACAATAATTTTGTTGAACTCAATAAGTCACGTGAGGCCTAAATCTCATCTTCTTTATGTTGCTGTTGCCAAACAAAACGAAATGAGATTTAGCACTATACTGGGGAATATCTCAAACCACGTAGCAAAAATCAAAAAAATACTCTAGGATACTGCGGAAGAATCTAACCCAAAGAATTTAAGCTTAGTAGATCACGAGATTTTGTATGTCGAGCTTTAAATTAAAGCACGGTTATTGACTTACAAGGCCTATAGTGAGAAAGCTCACTAGGATTACTGTTCCTAGCTGCTGTAAAGAAACGTCCTCTCATATCGAGATTCTACGAGCCCTAACAACTAATTGTTCGGACGATGTACGAAATAATAACATATATAATAACATAATAACATATAATATAACATATAATAAACATATTTATACTTATTTTAAATTGATTTTTTTTGCCTTTTCGATTGAAAAATGAAATCACGCACTTATTTTTATAACAAAAAGTGCTATCGTAACGAATTATTTTTTTATTTCCCATAAATTACATAACAAAATATCAAAAACAAACTGAATTTGCTGACAAATAAGTATTCGGACGCATTTAAATCTTTTACTTAAAATCGTTTTGGCATTGAATCTACCAAAGTCTTGCAATATTCGGGGGTGAAAGTGTTCCAAATTTCGGTGATTTTTGCCTTTAATGCTGGAACTGTACGCTGAGGATTTTTACGCAAAGTCTTTTTCATCCGATGCCATAAAGTTTCAATAATATTCAAGTCGGGGCTACTTGATGGCCACGACAAAACTTTCATATTATGGTCCGCAAACCACTTTTTTGTTGTTTTCGCAGTATGGGTCTTGTTGAAATATAAAATTTTCATTTCCAAAACTTCTTGATAAAATTTGTTGGTATTTTTCTGCAACTCGTAGTTGCCAACCCCTTTACTACTCATACACCCCCATATCATAACACCCTGAGGAAATTTTACCGTGCGCTTTAGACAATCTTTGTGAAAGGCTTCTGATTTTGTACGAATTACCCTTTTTCGAAAATCGCCTACACACACATCAAATTTTGATTCGTCGCTGAAAATAACGTTACTCCACGTTTCTGTTGTCCAGGATATTTTAGATTTGGCCCAATCCAAACGTTTTTTCTTCTGAATAGACGTTAATAATGGTTTTTCCTTTAACAAAAGTAGATCATAGAATATTAATAATTTTTATCTTGAAACAGGAAAAATTGTAAACTTGCCTTATAAAAACTCAAACCAGACTTATGCATCCGTTGTCTACAACATTCCCTGGAGACATTTAAGTTTGCCTTGTGATTCCATTGGGTTTGAATTTGTCGTAAGACGCTTCGTCTGCTAATTTTACGGGGTCGGTCTGAACTTTTACCACGAACCCTTACACTAGCGCTCCATACTTTTTTATAATATCCCCGATTGTTGATTGTGCAATACTCAAGTCATTTGAAATTTTTTCATTGATTTACCTCTGCAGTACTAAAATATGATAATTTCTCGCACTTTTTTGTTTGTTGCAACACCACGCGTCATTTTCTTATCAACTATTATACAAACTTGAAAAATACAACCCGAACTGACATCTTATTTATCTAAGCACACTACATTTTATCATCACTGCATGGGTAGCATTGATTTCTTGGTCAATAAACATTCGCGTCCGAATATTTATCTGTCAGCAAATTTGGTATGTTTCCGTTATTTTGCTATGTAATTCATGGGAAATAAAAAATAATTCATTACGATAGCACAAAAGTTAATTGATTAGCAAAGAAACATTTTAAATAGATATAAAAATGTCTTTTTTATCATTTTGTACATCGTCCGAACATTTAGTTGTTAGGGCTCGTATTAACAATTTGTATGCATTTACAGGTCGTTGAAACTGCAAAATTTCGCCATTCATCGCCGCAAGACCTTACTACTTATAATTTGTTTTTAATTATCGTTGTTGAAGGCGGAAAAACTGTCTTTAGTCGCAACAAAAAATATAATGTTATTTGGTGCATTGCATTGCTCAACGTAGCTGTGTGTTTTTCCTCAAGGATTTCGGGATTTATGTCTAAGCAATTTTTACCAGTAAAATTTTAAAATTTTTGATACCCTCGCTTCAGGTTATTATAAAAATACTTTAGACCACAAAACTTCCTGCGTTCCTTGGAGATCGTTTCTCAATTTCTGTTTCATTTGGCTGAAAAATAAATCGTTCTGCTGTCCACAATTTTCGAATGCTACGATTTAATTAATAACAAAAATTAAACGTGATTAAAAATTAAAAAAAAAGAGAAAACAGATTCCTGTATAACTGCCAAATCCAGATTTAATAAGCGTGTCTTTCATTTAACAAAATAAATAAGAAATAAAAGTTCAGATTTTCACTAAATTACACAACACCGTGTTGTGAGATTTTAAGTTTAATAATCGAGAGGTATTTAAATCTAATTGATCATTTGAATGTCTCATTTTGTTAATCTCCATGGCTTACTATAAATTTAATTTTCTGCTTTTTGTGGCTGTATGTAAAATATCAAAATTGTCATCAAAAATGTGTTTTTCTGTGTTTAAGATTGAAGCATAATTAGAATTTAGACTATTGTTTTTAAACGCTCTTTTATGTTCATTAATGCGTTTTTTGAAGGATCTACCTGTTTGTCCAATATAAATTTTAGGACATGATCCGCATTTCAACCTGTAGACACTTGATTTTTGAGATTTTTCACACTTAGTTTTATTGTTTTTTAAAAATTTTGTTGTTAGTTCTGAAAGCTATTTTCAAACCATATTTTGACAAATGTTCTGAAACTTTTTCACTGGGTTCTCCTATGTATGTAATTGTTTTAAATTGTTCGTGTTCTGTATTAGCTTTCGGATAAATAGAGTTTACTGTTGTCTGGATTTGTTTTTTATTTATAATTTTATCGATAATGGACGGATTGTAGCCGTTGTTCAGTGCATTTTATTTAATGATATTAAGTTCTTGGCGTATTAAACAGTCTGTGTATAAAAGAGTGAAATGCAGCCATTTTGTGTGCATAAGGGTGATTTGAGCTGTTATGTATGACTGTGTCCGTGTGTGAAGGTTTATGGTTAATTAAAATATCTAATTTGTTTTGCGTTTTCGTTATAGTTAGGTCTAAAAAATTAAAAAAATTAATCCCCTTCAATCTCGATAGTGAATTTAAATAAATTAGATTTTTCCATTTACCATATATCAATTATATTATTCCAAGTATCTCGCGCACCCTCTATGATAGACGAAACTTGAAAGAATTTTTTTGTTTTTTTTTTAATTTACGGTGCACCCTGTACATTTTTGAAAAATTGTCAAGAATAAAAGTTTATGCAGCCAATTCTTCTACGTGTTCTCATTCAAGAATTTTTCCGGTTCCGTAAACAGTTTGCGAGAAATGATCGTTTCCTTAGACAATTGGCAACGCAGTTTTTTTTAAATACTTCGAAATTGTCTGATAACTGGGGCCGCGACATTGCACTCGTGTTAAATAGCAATATCGGGTATAGATTAGTCGGTAAATAATAAATACGAAAATGAACGATAATCCGTGAGCGGTCAACTGCTATGTGCATACACGTACAGACCGATTCATTGACAATCGGCGAGAAGGTCAAGACACAGCCCGCCACAGCAACACTGCAACACTCGGTAGATGATATCGTATCGGTCGGCGGACAGTGTGCATGAAAGTGTTCCGGTGCTTTCGCGGATTATGTGAGACCGACCCTTAAAAGGTAACGCCCTTTTTAACCCTCTAATGCACGCTTTTCTATTTATATTTTCATTTATATTTATTTTATATTTATATATTATTAAGTATAACCAAGATGAGAAATACGAACATGGTTAAAGGAGAAAAAAGTTGCCAAGTTTAACGTCCTCGCAAGATATACTGGACTACTTTGCAATTGGTAGTAGAAATTCAAAAGCCAAAAATTATTATTATTCCATAAACCATATATCATTGTTGTTACTTTCGCAAAATCGATTTTTTCGAAGGTATCTACGCTTGTATAAAAAATTTATATCTCGGCAACGGTAGGTCCTATGGGATCGCCAGAAATGATCACCGTCGAAAAAAAAAAGTTTTTTTTTGTCTGTCCGTTCTCCATTCTCGTCTTCTGGTTTTCTCGAATAACCTCCGAACCGTTGGAGGTGGAGAGGAAAAGGCCCTGATCAGACGCCGGTATCCATCTTTTTTTCGCAATTTTCACCTGTTTTTTGGATATTGCTACGAAACACGATAAGTGTCTGAAATTTGAAGCAATAGACTTCATATTTGGCACATACATGCAGCTCTGCCCCATGACAGAACCTATTGGAAATGGGGGGCTGGGGGTTAGGAAGTATTATAAAAAAATTAAAAATTGCAATTGCAATTGCAAGGGTCTACAAAAAACATCATTTTTCAAAAACCGTTAACAAGACCAAAGAAATTCTTGAACCAGAAGACGCAGAACACAATTTTTCAAAAATATATAGGGCAAATTAAAAAAAAACTGAAAAATGAGTCCCCTTATTAATGAAAATTGGTTATAACTGGAAGACTGTGAATCCGATCTCAACTTTTTTATATTGCGATATAGCACGTATAGACAGCAAAAACTTTTGTATTTAAGGTTTTCACTTATTGTACAGCGTGTTTCCGATATTCCCTGCAAAATGAGAAATGTGTTAAGTGCCATAAATTTGCAGATATGAACTTCAAATTTAGCAAAGGAGTAAAAGTCCGTGTCCACATTTAAATAGTAAAAATTGGTTGCAATCAAAATTTTCCAAGTATTTTTTGAAAATTTTTTTTGTGGTAATTTTCGCTTCCAGAAAAATATGTTTTCCTCCATAACCGTTCACCCGATGGGCAAACTTAATTAGCCAGCTGACCCAGAAAATCCAGCGCAACAACCTATATTTTAGGCATTTTTTCGATTATATACAGGGTTTTTAAATTATAGGCAAAAATCTAAAAGACCTATAAAATTGTTCTTTGACAGAGTAAATTATTAACAGCAAATCAAAAATCGTGAAAAATATAGCTAATCGGTTTAAACAGTGTCATAGGACGCATCAAGAGCTACAATTTTTGTATCACATACACAAATCTAAAAGACCTTAAAAATTGCCGTTTTTGTGGATAAATTATTAGCCGTAAATGAAGAACTATAAAACTTGGGATAATTTGGTCTAAACAGTCGCGAATATTGTGTCGAAAGAGAGAGAGAGAGAGAGAGGGAGAGAGAGAGAGAGAGAGGGAGAGAGAGAGAGAGAGGGAGAGAGAGAGAGAGAGGAGAGAGAGAGAGAGAGAGAGAGAGAGAGAGAGAGGAGAGAGAGAGAGAGAGGAGAGAGAGAGAGGGAGAGAGAGGAGAGAGGAGGGAGAGAGAGAGGAGAGAGAGAGAGAGAGAGAGAGAGAGAGAGAGGAGAGAGAGAGAGAGGAGAGAGAGAGAGAGAGAGAGAGGAGAGTGGAGAGAGAGGAGAGAGAGAGAGGGAGAGAGAGAGAGAGAGAGGGAGGAGAGAGAGAGAGGGAGAGAGAGATAGAGATAGAGAGAGAGAGAGAGAGAGAGAGAGAGAGAGAGAGAGGGGGAGGGAGAGAGAGAGAGAGAGAGTTTCAGATATGGTCTATCATACAGGGTGAGCGAACTTGGAATAATATTATTGGAAATCGTTATTACTTAAACAATTTTTTATTTTTATCAAAGTTTGCCGTGACTTTGAAATTCGGCAACAAGTGAAAGACGCTTTATTCAGGGTGTATACACAATATAAGTGCGAAAGTTCCATAACGGTCCGCAGGAGCAGGATAGAAAAACAATGCGTCCATTTAGGACAAGGAAACGCGAAGCGACTTTTTTTTTAAAATAAAGCGATCTTGTTTTACTCTATACTGTAAAAGAAAGTCAAAACAACGTTTTTTACTTGGGTTACTTAATTCTTCGAAATTATTTGGCAATAATGTGCTTTATTTGGGCTAAACCGCTTAATCTGTTTTCTTAGAAAATGTATAAAATTGTTCCCGTATACAATACAGACTGTAGATCCCAAATCACACCATTTAAAATTTCTCCTACATGACAAAACATTTCATGCCGTTAAGAAGCAATTTGTTCCTCCATAACATGGATTCATCAAAGGGGAGATGCAACGTTATATCTATCTTTCAAACGCGTTTGATGGCCTGGACCAAAAAATTTCTAATGTACGAGCTAAAGATCTTGATGTGGGTTTTCTGTTATAAGTTTTTTTAATTCAGTATTTCGAGGATTGTCCTGCATAGTTTGTAAAAAATCAAAAATTGGCCTCTAAATAATAACTTGCAGCTTAAAAAAACCAAGTGCTTTGGTGACTTGGGATTAATATTCGACTCGAACTGATCGTTGCCAATAAGATACAGGCAGATGTCTCAAAAAGTTGCACTAGAGATTTTAGCAGTACAGTAATAATAAAAATATAACATAACTCATACGTCAGGTCAAAGTTATAGTATGCATCAGTTGATTGTTGTCCTGGGTACAATTGTCATATTAATCCCGTAAGTTTTTGTAATACGTATGGTACAAAATGGACGGCGTATATCCCACATAAGGCTTTTGGTGGTAGCTAGGATTGCCATTTTTTTGTTTTTTTCACCATTTTCCCGAATGCTCTGAATCTATTAGTAAAGTATTGAACCGTTAAGTATAATTACAAGTTTCAGTTCTTTCATGTTCTCTTATTCTTGCCTCTGCTTCTCTAACTATTAAGAAAAACTCGAGTCGGATAGGTATTAAAGCACAAAACATTAAATAGAGTGAAAACTCCATATAGTTAAACTCTGTATAACGTAAAGCTCTGTATTACGAACAAAAGTTGTTGTACTATTAGGTCTCCATACAAAGCTATGTATTAAACCACTCTCTATACCAAACAATTTTATCTCTAGATGACAAAGTTGCTTTACACATTGACTTACACCGTCGATTGTATACACGATTTGGAAGTGCGAAGAAAAAATCATTCAGGTTGAAGCGGCAGGCAGTTCTAGTTAAAAACTAAGGAAGCCAAAATTTTATATTTGGATCGAGCAATGTTGCTGCGGTTCCGTCTTAAAAGTGTACCACTCTCTGGACCTATCGTAAAACTAGAAGCAGAAAAGTTTGCCTAGCAGCTTGGCACTATCGATTTTAAGGCTTCCGAAGGATAGTTGGGGAATTTCAAACAGAGACATGGTAGAAATTATGGAGAGATAAGTGGCGAAGCCCGTGATGTCGACAGAAACGTCACTAACGATTGGCTGGAGAAGTAGTGGCCAAAACTAGCAGAAAATTACCCTGCTTACTACATTTTTAATGCTGATGAAACTGGTATTTTTTACAAAATGTCGCCAGATAAAACTCTTAAATTTCGAAGCGAAAAGTGGGTGAATGTAAAACTTTCTAAAGAACGTATAAAAGTGTTAGTAGCTGACAATATGAGTGGGAGAGAAAAAAGAAGGCTAGTCGTGATTAGAAAATAAACTAACCCACGATGTTTTAAAAACATCAAGCATTTACCGGGCACTTACAAGGCAAACAAGTCTAACTAGATGACATCACAAATTTTTGAAGAGGAGATACGGAAATGGGATGCAGAATTAAAGGGGAGGAAAATATTACTTCCTTAGATAACTGCGCTGCACATCTCCATATTCCAATTCTAAGGAATATTGAATTGGCATTTCTTCCAGCCAAAACAACAAGTGCATTACAGCCGATGGACCAGAGCGTAATAAATAGTCTTAAGAGTCGATACAGGAAAAACATTTTAATGGAAATCATCGAGCCCAAAGACAAATTTTCCGTTAATATGCTAGATGCAGTCAACTTTATTAGGAAAGCTTGGAAAGATATTACCGAGACAGAATGCGAACAAGATTTGGAAGATGATCAGCCACTAAGCGAGTGAATAAAGCAGTTTCAAACAACAATAACATATACGAGTGAGGAGTTGCAAGATTTTATGGTGATAGGATTTGCCTACAACAGACTTGACAGAAGAAGCCATATTACGACAAGCAAGAAAGGGTGAGGAAGAGCACCAAGAGGAAGAAGAAGATGAAGAAGTTGATCTTTGACAACCACCAACCATTCAACAAGCCCTATACTCAGTTAAGCTTCTAGAGAAATTTTTATGTATCATGGGGAAGATGCCCCTCTCGAAGAAATTGTGAAAATACAAGCCAAAGTACGACATGCGTGTTGGCATATTAAAAAAATTAAAAAAAGAGACCGACTATTTGAAACATTAAATGTAGTTCTTAAATATTTATATAAAATGTTCCTAAGTAGATGTTAAAATATGTATATAAAATAATTCAATATTACAGAACACATATGCGTATTGTTATTTTTCAAGTGCCTATAACTATTTATAGCGAAAAAAAAAGCAGTCCCTTCAATTTCGCTATATAGAGTTTCGACTGATAGAATAAATTCATAGCTAAGACTATTAATACAAAATGACATATTACAAATTCCTTCTAGATGTTTCTTCTTGTCCTGTTTATGTTAAAAATTTGAGCGCCCGCCATCTTTTAAAATTTGTTTCAATTCTTGCACTTACCTAAATCAAATTATTTGTAAGTTGTTTATTTAAAAGTTAAAAATTATTTTGTTATTTTTAAAATAAATAAAAGCTGAGTCTGACGTTTTTTAATGATGAAACTTACGAAAAAAACCAACTGTAAACAATTAAATTGAACAAAATACTGTCGGGCTCTCAAAGC